AGTTTCAAATAATTTTAGTGTCCTAAGCAAAGCTTTATAGCTTCCAAGGAATCAACATCTGCCTCTTATCCTTTATGAAAGTAGGCAGGGTTAAAATATAACAATAGAAATGTACTTTTCAGTATTTTTCCTAAAGTCCTCACGATCCATCTGTTTAATAATCTGCTCTACAATCATGTATGGCCTCAAGCTTGTAAGTCTATGATTTCTGGATACGCTTTTACACACATCATGAAAATTGAGACATTGCTTATCTCCAGCCTTCTGACATTTCTACTACAGAGAATTCCTCCAAGATACATGACAACAGCTCCTAAATCACAGATGGAATATTTTTGCTACTCTAGCATGTATGTATTTGACCCTAAGGACTTCAAGTAATTTATATCATCTGCATGCTCTCATCAATCAGTCAATAAACATTTTGAACATTCACTAAGTGCTAAGCAATATGTTTAAAATTGTTTCCCCTGGGGAACTCAGAGTTTAGCAGAGGAGAAAGATATGTAAATAAATACATATTTATTTACAACATGACAACTGCTATAACAGAAAAATGTACAGAATGCCATGTGGATACAGAGGGGAAACTATACACCTTTCTGTGACTTCAAAAGTTGGGTCTTAAAGACTGACCATGAATTCTCCAGTCAAAGAGGGGCATTCACACAAAAGGATAAATTCAATGTTCAGAAAATACTGAGAAGTTTGGAAAAGCTGGAACTGAAAAAGCATGAAAAGAATACACAGAGATGAGATGAAAGAAAAGCTCAAAACACACCACGAAGGACCTGTGTGCCATGGTAAGAAATCTGGACTTACTTCTATAGAGAACCCCAAAAGAATGCTTTTAGGCAGAGGAATGACAAGATGTACTTTTAGAGAAATAATTTGTGGGAGTAAAGAAGTTGTCTTCTTCACTTGATTGGAAGATGAGGGGAGAAAACGTATGCCAAGCAGCAGGAAGAACTTTTAAGGAGGCTGCTGAAATGATGCGGGCAAACAACAGGGAGGGCCAGAATCAACGTACTGTCCTATTTGGGCCTTCAATTCTTCATCTCATGTTCTTCTCCTTCCAGTTTAACAATTATTTTTGATAGAGGTGGTAAAGACAAAATAGGGAACTGGTACTACTATTTCCCCAACACCTATAAACAGAATTTTCCCCAAGTGAGAACTATTACCTTCTTGTTTTTCTACTTATAAAAATATACGAAAATTTTTAAACAATCAAAAGCTAGTGTTTTGTTACCATTTTCCTACACTTCAGATTATTCTAGCCTTTTATCCTTCCTGACACTATTATTACACGTTTCTGTTACCCTTTTCTATTTGAATTCGGTTATACACACATGACAAAATTTGAGAGATGCCCCTTAGTATGTGTCTGCCTTCTTTTCATTTACTAATAGAGCTCCAAAATTTTAGGTAGACATACAGATATCTAGACTACTATTTGCATTTCCCAGTCGTTATTAAAGCTAAGTGTGGCCACCTGACCAATTTTGGCGAAGGGAAGTAAGAAGAACTGGTATATGCAACTTAAGAGCATTCTTATAGGGCGAAGACATCTTTTTCCCTTCTTCCTTCTTGATGGCTGGTATACTATACAAGTAATGGCTGGAACTGGAGCAGCCATACTGGACCATGAGGTAACTTTGAGAATAGTGTCTATTGCAGCAGAGCCAAAAAGAAGGCTAGGTCCATGAGAACCATGTAGAACACAGATATTGTGCCAATCCTGGACTATTCACCTTCAGACTTTAACAGGAGAAAGAAATGAATTTCTATCTTTTTTAAGCTACTATATAACTTTAGGTTCCTAACAGCCAAACCTAATGCTAAATGACACAGTATCCTTTCTTTTCAATTTTAATCTCTTCCACTTTCTCTTTGAAGATCATAAAGTTCAAGCAAAGCGTAAGTAAAAATATCACTGGCACTCTTCCTTCATATAACCCAGTTCTTGTGTTACCAGATAGGTTTATTTGGTGCCTCTCTTTTCCACCCTCATTGGAATAATCTCAAATGTAATGTCAATGTGTCACTTGAAGGCCAGTCATTATTACTGAGCCATCATTTCTTTTAAATTGACTGGTTAAGGGAGTCTGCTTGTCTTTTCTAAAAACACTTAGAAATCTACATTTTTAGAGAGAGAGAGAGTTCTAAATTTAAGCTGCCTGAATTTACATCTGGCTGTACCACTAATTTTCTGTGTGATATCAGGCGAATTACTTAAACTTTCTGAGCCTCAGTTTCTTCATTTGTAAAACTGGGACAATAGTTGCTGTGAGGATTAAATGAGGCAATTAATGTAAAATACTTAGTACAGTGCCTTGTACATTGTAACTGATTGAAAAATAAGAGCTATCATTACTTAGCATGACTTAGTGGACCAGGCACTCCCTCATTCCCTTTCTTTCTTTTTACAGCCTCCAAGATGACATGGTCACTGTATTCATGGTCTTGCACACTTTCACATCTCCAAGCATTTTTCTCTCATTGACCAGATTAAGCTCGAACTAGAGGTTTACTTCACTGCTTTCTCAACTTTTTGAAGGAAAAAAATTTTAGAAGTATACTATCACTCTTTTGGTGTTTTCTTTGAATAAGTTGTGTCTTTATGCCAATTCATTACTCAGTTCTAGCTCTAAACCCCATCCCACCATGATCTCAAGATAATAATTACAAACTTGTCTTAATACGCTACATTCACTTTCTTCATTACTTATATTCTGCATTGGTATTGACATATTGAAGGCCAAAAGTGTTATTAATGACGCTTTTCCTTATTTTCTCCAAGGAAAATGCACCTATTCCATTATTGATGTGTCAGTGGCAGATCTGCTGTTCTGTATATTATTTGGTTTTAAAGTTATCGATAAACATTATCTCTATCTGTAAACTCCTTTCAAATTTGAGTTGAAAACTCTTTGAAAATTCTGCAGGTTTCCTTCCAGGTTTTCTGAGATATATTCCAACTTTTCCCAGGTGCCCAAATACCCTAGAAAACGATATCAGGAGACTACACATTCAGTTAGCTATTCACTTGTAATATCTCCCCTTTTTTCACCATTTGAGTTCTCCAGGACTCCAAAGTCACTTATCAACCATTCTAGGTTGCTTTTGATGGTTTGGTTTCCTTTATCACCAAAAGTGAGTAACGGTCAGTAGTTTCAGTGTCTTTCAGACTCTCTATCTTCCCAGTAGGCCTTCATGCAGCCACATCCATTCTCCTCTTCAATAAAGAGTAGATACACATTCTCCCTTAAGACTCTCTTCCTAGGTCATTATACCTTTCTTAAACATATTATAGGCTTTCTTAAACATATTAATTTCTTTGAATTCCTAAAGCCAATTTTTAAATGTGAAACAATTTCATTGAGACTTCCAGTCCCAGAGCTAATAAGTAATGGAACCATAATTAAAAGCCATTGTTCTTTCTGCTACACCACATTATCCCACACTTTAAATAACTTCTGACCCCAAACTCTTAAAATCCAGTTAAAGACTAAGAAGAGCATTATACATGGAGAAAATAATAAACAATAAAAGACTGTAATGTATATTATGCTAAGTTGTAAAAAAATTACGAGTTAAAATTAGGTCAGTACAAAAATATGGATACAAATCGTAGGAAAAAGAGATTTGCACAGATTCAAGAGATCAGAAACAATTTCAAGAAGAAGGTGGAATTTTAACTGTGAGTTTAAGAATGGTCAGCATTAGGTAGGTCATAGCTTAGAGGAAGGTTCCCCAGGAAAGTTAAGGCATATACTTAGGACGTCCATGGCACAATCCTAAGACAGTGAGGACACCAGTTTAACATGAGCAGAAGGCATGTATTGTCACCAGTGATGTTTTCTAAGTAGAGAGGACTTCCAATATGGTGGACCTTGAGGGTCAGACATTGGAGTGAGCCAGGCCCAGCACAGTATTTCCCTAACTGAAACTCCACATGCATAGCCTTAGTAGTCCACAAGTTTTCTACAAGAATTTTTAAATTTTATGTTTTCACTTATTTGATTATCTAAGTAAATATACACAGTTTGATAGACAGACTTATCCATGTGAGCACCTCAGTACCAAGTACTGCCAAGAGATTTCAGTACCCACATCAGTGTATGTATGTGATTATATCAGTGCTAACTACTTTAATTATTGAGGACTCCAGAGAACAAAATAGAAGCTGACTCAATACATAAATGAGGTACTCACACAAAAGTCTAAATGGCATCATAGAATAATGTATGAATAAAGGTTCTGAAGCAATTCAAATGGAAAAAAATGATATCACACAGTGACACAGGCATAACAAATGCAAAAAACCTACCTATAAAATCAATACTATATTCACATGGTGAGCAGAGATTTGGTTTCAGCACAACGTTATCTGTCTCACTGAATTTATGTTAATTGGAATTTTACTAAATTTCCAGGTTTGTTTATATCAAATTTATAAATGTATTTTTATGCTTATACAAGAACTACAAACATAAAGGGATTACATACAGTTTTCTATTTATTTATTTTAACTTAATAAAATTAATTTAAGTCAGCACTGGCCAACTATGAAAAATCTTCTCATCTTTAAAAAGTGCTCTATCTAAGGGACTGGAAATTACATCTTGACCTGAGTGGTAACTACCTGGATGGACATATATTTACAAATTCATTGAACTAAACACTTAATATCTGTGTACTGTGTCTATATTATACCTTAACGAAAAAGTGAAAAAATAAAATCCAAACAAACAAATAAACAATATAGTCTGTATATTTCTTGAGTTTGAGGGAATATTGGTACGGTAGCTTTGGAACAGGAAGATTTTTATTTATTTATTTTTTGAGGAAGATTAGCCCTGAGCTAACATCTGCTGCCAATCCTACTCTTCTGGCTGAGGAACACTGGCCCTGAGCTAACATCCGTGCCCATCTTCCTCTATTTTATATGTGAGATGCCCACCACAGCATTGCTTGCCAAGCAGCGCCATGTCTGCACCCGGGATCCGAACTGGTGAACCCCGGTGTGAATTTAACTGCTGTGCCACCAGTCCGGCCCCGAGGAACAGGCAGATTTAGATCCTAGTTGCAATTCTGCCACTCCACTAGCTGGGTAACCTGGGACAGGCTACTTAACCAGTACAAGCCCCATTTTCTCCAACTGTAAAATGAGTATAATAATAGATCCTTGCAAGATATTATGAGGGTTATAGAGAGATTTTGTAGGTAAAATAGCTAAAACAGACTTAGTATATAATGGTGCTCATGGATAGTAATAAAGTGATAAAAAATAATGAGGAAGGAATGAAGGAAAAGAGGGAGGGAGAAACAAGTCAGCTTTGGCTTAACATGATACACACATGCATGAATGTGCACACACATACAATGACATACAACTGATTTTGAAGGTTTTAAGCAAAGGAGGAAGATGATGAAAGCAGTCTTTTAACAACTGCTATCTGACAGTGTTATTAAGGAAGCATGAGAGTAGAAATCAGAGTGTAGGAAGTCTACTAAAAATTCATCATAATTTTCAATAACCAAAGTGTTTAAATCAGTAAACTACATGTCCTGCAATGAGCTTTTAGAGAGCTTCAAAAACTATTCAGTCTATATGGATTTTTCTCCAAACTTCAAAAAACATTTATTAAGTAACTATTTGCTACAAAACTAGTAAAAAGGGTCATGATTCTGCCTCCCCAGGAACATATGAGCTAAATGGATGGATACATTAAACAAATCAATAAAGTGAAAAAAATTACATATTCATTTTAGATTCAGGTAAAGAAATAATGGCTATGAACCTTAAAAACCCAGGATATCCATTGTTAGCACTGCTCAGATGCCAGAAGAAGGGGTCCGGGGCTGTTTCAGATAAGGTCTCGCTGAGAAAATGACATCCAAGTAAAAGTAGATGAAGAAGCTAGCCAAATGGATGTTTGAAGGAAGAATATTCCAGGTAAATGGAAAGGAGCAAGCCTGGTGTGTTCAAGGAAAAGCAAGGAGCAGAATGAGCTAAAGGAAAAGAAATAGCAGAAAACAGGATCAGAGAAATAGTGAGGGACAGACCAATGGGAGCATAGGGACCATGATAAGAATTTTGAATTTGATTCTGAATGAGATGAGAAACCACTGGAGAATTCTTAGGAAAGGAGTGACCTAATCGAACTTGAGTTTTTCAAAGGATTACTCTGGCAGCTGTTTTGAGAAGGGACTGAAGTGGGGGAAGGACAGAGGAAGGGAGAACTTTTGGTAAGGGCATTCATAGAAGAGAGCACAGTGGCTTTCTTCTCTTCTCCTAGTAGAAGAGCCCCCAGAGAACCACTCTTAAAGACCGGGAGAACCTTAGGGAAAGGGAAACAAATATCTCACTTCCAGAGGTGGCATTTTGCTGGACCCCAAAACTCCGAGGACCATCTTGGTGTGACCACCAAGGTCGGAATGCTAAGAGAGAGAGTAAACCAGCCATGTGACCCCTGGCTTTGGGGAGTATTTGAGAACAGGAAGACGAATGCTTGCCTCCACCTGAAGATTATGAAGGTGGCTGGAGCTTCCCATGACGGCAGAAAAGACAGAAGGAGGCAAGGGGGAATAGCCTACCCTTCCCCCATTGAACTAAAGATGTGAATTCCTGTGGGCCAATGGGAGACCACAGAAGGTAACCAGGAGCAAGCTACCTCACATACCCTAATTTTCTGCCAGAAATAGAGAAATCCAGGAGAAAGAGAGTGTCTCTCCAGGGGCAGGGGCAAAGGGTGGGTCATAAGAGCTCAGCCTAGATACACAACTTGCTCAGTGCCTTCTTTATTAAGAGGCTCTTACAGGCCGATTACGTGTAAGATTTTTCACCTTTTCCTATACTCTCCCTTCTCTCACCGTCTGCCCTTGAGGAAACAGAAAAAGTAGGAAAGGAGTAAAAAATAAAGAGATCTAGTGAAAGAACAGATTCTGCCCCACCTTTCTTTATTTCATAAACAATCCCTGTTATAGCACTCCATAAGCATGTTGGAAAAATTCATACCCAGAGGATTGTTTGTCTTCAGGGCCACTGCTACTCATTTCTCATTATAACCTATCTTGCATTACAAGGACTCAAGGTATTTGCATAATATTTATAGACAACACCATAGCCAATTATGGAAATGAGGGTTTTTTTCTAAACAGAACATAGAAAAAGAAGGTCATTCCTGTCTTCCATCTAAATGTTGCTGTCTTTATTTGATCTTGACAGAAATTCATCTGCAGCTCCTTGCGTAAAGTATAACAATGATCTCTTTATACTTTGGGGAGACAAAAAATGGGGCTTTAGAGTTTCAGCTACTTAGTACCAATCCACAGAGAATCATATAAATAAATGATAGATAAATAATATAGAGGGAATAAATAAATGATAGAGAATATTGATAATTATAGTGTAGATGAATTAGATGAATAGATGAATGAATAGAGATTCATTCATTCAACAAGTACTTAATGAGGAGTATTGGTAGGTAGTGAGCATTGAGTAGATTCCTTACAATCCAATGGGAAATGTAGATATTTTAAAAGTAAACACACTAATCATTGTATAATTCTAAACTCAGAACAACATTATGAAGCAAAAGAATAAAATGTAGTGATGGAGAACTCTTTACATTTGGGGGATAAGGGAAACTTCTCTGAAGGATAAAAAGAAACCAGCAAATGAAGATTTGGAGCAAAGGTCCTGATGTGAAAAAGAACTTGGTGTTTGCCAGAAATTTTAAAAAGCCAGCATGACAGGAACTTAGAGAGAAAAGGAGACAACAGTGTAAGATGAAGTAAGATGGAAAGTCGACCATGTGCCTTCAAGGCCTTGTTAGACTTTCCAAAGCACTTGTGTAGATTTTATTCCAAGAGTAATGAGAAAACTTTGATGGTTTTAAACTTTGAAGACCCACGTTTAAAAAGATCACCTGGGCTTCAGGCTGTGTGGGAGAATGGATTGAATAGGAGCCAAAATAGAGAACAGTAGGGAGATTATTGCAAAAGATCGAAGATTTTGATGTCTTGCATTAGACAGTAGGTAGCAGAGAAGGTGAGGAAAACTAAGCCCTTTTTCCTTCTGATTCTACATGCTTGTGAGGGACAAGCTCATGACAGGTTCAACTACCACTTCTATGCTGCTGTCTCCCAAATATTTCTCACTGGACGCAATTACTTTGCTAAAATCCCAATATTCCCTGTGCCCTCCCCATATCCAATTGCTTAATGGACACTTGCTTTCAGACAGCACAAATTCAAATGGAATTCTTCATCTTCCCCTCAAAACTTGCTGCCTTTGTGACTTCCCATTATTGTCCCCATCACTTGGATTCAAAACATCATCTTTGATGCCTCCCTTTTGGTCCAACTCCCACATCCAGGAGAATGAAGCATTAAGACTACATGCCCTAGAGTCAAAATACTTAGGCCAATGAATTGGAACAGAGTTACAGGACATTTACCTGGTATATGATTGCCAATGCTATGTGCTAGACTGCACATTATATCTCAGGAATTCTTTTTAATTTCAACTCCCGCATGCTCTGGAACATGCAGGAATCCTAGCTGATCACACAAGCGGTTTCAGGTATAGTCTGTCCAAATCAAATAAACACAACAGCACTGAGTCAGAGAGTGGATATCTGATCCTCCTCGGTTATGTTGAGAAGAAAAATATTGTTTTCTAAGTTGACTACAGTTTTCTCAATGAATAGTATGCATACTACCACAGTCCTTACACTGCAAAACAGTCATATAAATAGTGAGCTATAGTGGCCCTGGAGGAAGATGAATCTACTTTTTGGTTTTGGTTTAGTTTCTCAAGAAAATCTAAAACCAAACCCAGCTAGAGATAGAGCTGAAGTTTCAGAAAGGACTGACAGAGTCTTGGTAGTTATAAGAAAGTGAGAAAGGGTGAGATCACCAAGGAAGAGAACTTTGAGTGAGGAGAGCCAATGATTAAAGACAGTATGTGAGCATAGTGGGGAGGAGAAGGAAGTAGAACCCATGAAGGATTCAGGGAAGCAGAGGTCAGAAAGAATCCACTCTCCACCTCTCTGCGGTGAGGAAGGCATATATGTGTGAACCTGCCTGGATAACATCTACGAGCTCTCTTGTCCTCTTGCTTTCTGTTGGGTACAGTCCATGAGATGTACACCTGCAAAGATAAGAGACTCAACTAGAGGCTGCAGCTTCTACTAGCAACAGACCATTGTTATTACACCCAGATTTCTGTATTATTCCTTGTATTTTCCCTGCATCCTGCTCCTACATCTTTATAAATTGTCACCTTATTAAACTCTACTTTAGTTATCCAATTTGCATGTGTGATTGATTTCTTGCCAGGATCATTACTGAGAAGAGGTAAGCTATGAGAATAATTATGAAAAAAGGAAGATTACTGAGTTACATGCTTAAAAAGCCAGCTTTTTTTTCTTTTAAGTGTGGAATGAAGGTCTTCAGTGGATACCTTCACCCCCATCCCAGTTTCTTTTCAGGGACTGATTGAACAGTGTTTACACCTATTTGAGCTGACTCCAAAGAAACAAGCAAGTGCCTGATTGTAGATTTTGTTCAACCCATATCATCTCAGGAAAGGCTCCTCTAATGTCTAAAATAATTGGGGGATGAGGAGTGGAGTGAAAGAGTGTCAAAGAACCACTAAGAGAGCCAACCTTCTTTTATTATTTTCAGAGACTTTCAAGTTTAGCAAGATTTTCAAGTTTAGCAAGCTTCCCATTCTGCAGTGAACCTAATTAAAGTAAACAGAATTCCAAAATGAACCAAACCCAATTAGGCAGTGGGAGCTAACACTTCTTTTCAATTATTATGTAAGGTCACATCTCATACTTGTGTATTGGATACCTTCCCCCTCATTCAATTTGTCTTCCCATTCTCCATCCTTCCCAGAGTGCCCAAGAACAGAGACCCCAGATGATCTGAGCTAGCCCTAACCTCCCTGCTCCATCCCTCTTGTCCTGTGCACAAACAGATGATATACCACATGGCCGATACAACATGACGTGAGGGACAGCGATGGCGGCAGCTGAAAACAAAGACACAGGGAGAGAGTCATGCATTTTCTTGATGCTAATTCTGTAGTCAGAGCTGATACTGTTTTGCAGTTTATAAACTTATGATATGGCAGCTGAGACCACTCTACCATATGAAAATGGAGAATTGCTGCTAGTATTTTCATAACAAAAGAAATAGTCCCTGCCAATAACGTTATGCCTATCCTAAGGAAAATTGAGGGTTTTGAGGGATGGGAGTGAAGGAGACCAGATTCTTATCCATGCAAATGAAGTATGCTATAATTATTATGTAAATGCTCTAAAGGAAACGTATGGTAAAACTACAGTACAACTCAAATACAAATATCACAATGCATGTCAGCCTAAAAGTAGGATAAAAAATTTTAAGAAAAAAAGTTTTTAAAAATACAACTCATACTACAATACAAGGGATGCATTGAAGGCTTGGAAATATACACATTGTTTATTAGATCATTCATATATAATTATAATGAATGTACAGTAATATTAACACAATTCTTTCAGAATTGGACAGATGTTGTAATAAACATAATGACATGGAAGAATGGAATATAAAAATAAACTAATTTTCACAAATGTATATAAAACTTCTCACCTCTCAAATACATTTTTCTTTTTTTATTATATCCATTTATAAAACTCTATCACATACAAGTTTCTAAAAATAGAGTCTACATTTATCACTCAATAAAAATGGAAATAATTAAAAGGTGATCAGCTAACTACTTGGAAATTAAGATTCATGCTTCTAAATAACCTTTAGCTCAAAGCAGAAATTAAAACTGAAAGTTTCTAGAAAGCATGGAAAGATGAACTCTTCACACCATTTATTTATTTAGCCAATGAACACTTACTGAGCACTTGCAACGGCAAAGAAAGCATTTTGTCAGGCATGTAAGGATGTGAAGACTGTGACCGTCCTTCTCCAAGGTGAGGCAGTCACAGACTAGAGTGGAAATATATGCTAAGGACTGTGTGAATCCAGAAGAAAGAATTATTAATTCCAATTGATCAGAATATGAAAGAAAAAAGTTGCATTTGAATAAATCAAAACCTTGGGGAATGCACTGGCTTTGGTTAGAGAGAGATAATGAAGGGAAGAGGACACTCCATGCTGAAGGAAGGCACAAAGACACACGGGCAAGAATGTGGAATGGGTGAAACATGGAAGCACAACTAAACCTGTTAGCAGCTGAGCCTGTAATAGCAAGACTAAAGATTAAAATAAAGTGTAGATGGCCTTAGATGCTCAAGCTTTATTGTGCAAAGCTCCTGGAGATCTTGCTAAAAAGAAAATTCTGATTCAGTAGGTTAAGAATAGGGCTTGAGATTCTGCATTTCTAACAAGCTCCCAAGTCATGACAGTAATGCTGCTGTGGCCAATACTTTGAGCAGCATGGTGATAAAGGATGCAAGAGGGAGGATCATGGAGATTTAGTGCCTTTGGAGCAAGGCAATGCAATGTAGCCATTTAAATATAGTCTTTGGAGTCAGACAAATTGGATTTGAACTTCAGTTGCTTCACTTATTAGCTGTGTATCCTTCGGCAACTTAGGGTTGGAGCCTTAGTTTCCTCATTTATAAAATGAGAAAGTAATTACTACCTCAAAGTGTTGTTAGGATTATATGAGATAATGATTGTAAGTAACTTAGAATAATACATAGCAAAAATTAAATACTCAGTATGTAGTGGCATTATTTCCTGGAGACTACAACATGAGAGAGCTCCTTTCTCTCCTCTGCTGCTCTCTTAAGCAGGAAAATTACTAAGTTTTCTTTTCCTTTCCTTTTTTTTTAAGCTGGGTCTTTTCTTCATACTGTGGAACTGCTGAAAGAATCATTCAAAAACAAAGGCTCTGGTACACTTACTGTATCTTCATGCTGTTGGAATTATTCTAAATAAGAGCTAAACTCAAAGATTCTTTTCTTTTTTTTAATTGAGATATAAGTGATACATAACATTGTATCAGCTTTAGGTGTACAATATAATGATTTTTTATACAGGCATACCTCCTTTTATTGTACGTTGCTTTATTGTGCTTCACAGATATTGTGTCTTTTATAAATTGAAGGTTTGTAGCAACCCTGTGTCAAGCTAGTTTATTGGTACCATTTTTCCAACAGGATTTGCTCACTTGGTATCTCTGTGTCACATTTGGGTAATTCTCGCAATATTCCAAACTTTTTCATTATTATATTTGTTACGGTGATCTGTAATCTGTGATTTTTGATGTTACTGTTGTAACTGTTTTGGGACGCCACAAACCATGCCCACATAAGATGGCGAACTTAATCAATAAATGTTGTGTGTGTTCTGACTGCTGCACAGCCTGGCCATTCTCCTCTCTCTCTCCCTATCCTGGACCTCCCTATTCCCTGAGACACAACAATATTGAAATTAGACGAGCTAATAAACCTACAATGGCCTTTAAGTGTTCAAGTGAAAGGAGGAGTTGCACATCTCTCATTTTAAATCAAAAACTAGAAACAAGTTTAGTGAGGAAGGCATGTCAATGAAAGCCAAGACAGGCTGAAATCTAGGCCTCTTGTGCCAAACAGCCAAGTTGTGGATGCAGAGGAAAAGTTCTTGAAGGAAATGAAAAGTGCTACACCAGTGAACATATGAACGATAAGAAAGCCGAACAGCCTTATTGCTGATGTGGAGAAAGTTTTAGTGGTCTGGATAGAAGATCAAACCAGCCACAATATTTCCTTAAGCCAAAGCCTAATCCAAAGCAAGTCCCCAACTCTCTTCAGTTCTATGAAGGCTGAGAGAGGTGAGGAAGCTACAAAAGAAAAGTTTGAAGCTAGCAGAGGTTGGCTCATGAGGTTTAAGGAAAGATGCCACCTCTATAACATAAAAGTGCAGGGTGAAGTAGCAAGTGCTGGTGCAGAAGCTGCAATAAATGATCGAGAAGTTCCAGCTAAGATAATTAATGAAGGTGGCTACACTAAACAACACATTTTCAGTGTAGATGAAACAGCCTTAAACTGGAAGAGATGCCATCTAGGACTTGCATAGCTAGAGAGAAGAAGTCAATGCCTGGCTTCAAAGCTTCAAAGGACAGGCTGACTCTCTTGTTAGGGGCTAATGCAGTGACTTTAAGTTGAATCCAATGCTCATTTACCATTCCAAAAATCCTAGGGCCTTTAAGAATTATGCTAAATCTTCTCTGCCTGTGCTCTATAAATGGAACAACAAAGCCTGAATGACAGCACATCTGTTTACAATATGGTTTACCAAATATTTTAAGACCACTGTTGAGACTTATTGCTTAGAAAAAAAAAGATTTCTTTCAAAATGTTACTGCTCATTGACAATGCACCTGGTCATCCAAGAGATCTGATGGAGATGTACAATGAGATTAATGTTGCTTTCATGCCTGCTAATACAACATCCATTCTGCAGCCCATGGATCAAACAGTAATTTCCACTTTCAGGTCTTATTATTTAAGAAATACATTTCATAAGGCTAAAGCTCCCATTGATAATGATTCCTCAGATGGATCTAAGCAAAATAAATTGAAATCCTTGTGGAAAGGATTCACCATTCTAGATGCCATTAGGAACATGCATGATTCATGGGAAGAGGTCAAAATATCAACATTAAAAGGAGTTTGGAAGAAGTTGATTCCAACCCTGGATGACTTTGAGGAGTTCAAGACTTCAGAGAAGGAAGTAACTGCAGATGTGGTGGAAATAGCAAGAGAACTAGAATTAGAAGTGAAGCCTGAAGATGTGACTGAATTCCTGCCATCTCATGATAAAACTTTAATGGATGAGGAATTGTTTCTTACTGATGAGCAAAGAAAGTGGTTGCTTAAGATAGAGTCTACTCCTGGTGAAGATGCTGTGAAGATTGTTGAAATGAGAACACAGGATTTAAAATATTAAATAAACTTAGTTGATAATGCAGGGGCAGAGTTTGAGAGGACTGACTCCAATTCTGAAAAAAGTTCTGCTATGAATAAAATGCTATCAAACAGCACCACATGCTACAGAAAAATCATTCATGAAAGGAAAAGTCAATTGACGCAGCAAACTTCATTGCTGTCTTATTTTTAAAAATTGCCACAACCACCCCAACCTTCAGCAACCACCACTGTGATCAGCAAGCAGCCATCAGTACTGAGGCAAGATCCTCCACCAGTCAAAAGATTACGACTTGCTTAAGGCTCAGATAATGGTTAGCATTTTTTAGCAATAAAGTATTTTTTAACTAAGGTATGTACATTGATTTTTTAGACATAATGCTATTACACACTTAATAGACTACAGAATAGTGTAAACAATTTTTATATGCACTGGGAAACCAAAAAGTTTGTGTGACTCTCTTTATTGTGATATTTGCTTTATTGTGGTGGTCTGGAACTGAACCTGCAATATCTCTGAGATATTCCTACATGTATATACTGTGAAATGATTACCACAATAAGTTTGGCTAACATCCATCACCACATATAATTAAAAGTTTTTTCTTCTTGTGATAAGAACTTTTAAGATCTACTCTCTTAGCAACTTTCAATTATACAATATATATTGTTAACTGTAGTCACAATGCTGTACATTAATCACTGACTTTTCTGAACAGTGTGCTATGTGCTGGTACTTCCACACTGCCTCCAGGAATGAACGGATAGTAGAATGAGCAAAACAAGGGATAGGTACATGACTAGAAATTTTTGGATGATTAAAACTTTTAATGATAAGCAAAAGTGTATGTTGAAAGACTATCAAATACTGAAGGGATTAAGAAGTTATGGTGCAAGTTTAGATGACAACTAATTATTGTTCTACTTAAAACAAAGATAATAGGGGGGAAGTGATTAATTTCAGAAATTCCCACAGAGAAAATGTGCTCAGTGGATCTGAAAAAGGTAGGTTTGAAGGAATAGAAAAATTGGTTGTCAAGTTTGTGACACAAAACATAGATAAGAAATGCCAATTTCAAGCCAATGATTTTGCTAAAAAGGAGTGAAATTACTAAGGAAATCAAAATACCAGAATTATAGTTTAAGGATTGCTTCATATTTTTTGTCAAATCGATTGGCTTTGGTGAAAAGAACTAGCCATATTCATAAAATTCCAATTATTTTAAAGAAATACTGATCCGTATCAATAGCCATTTTCTCTGACTCCTTTATTAAATTTATTCTTAGATAGATAATGTCAACTAGGTGCAAATATTTTACATATATCTTCACTTGTAACTGTACTCAAGGCAAAAAAAATCTATCATTGTGGAGTCTACCCAGAGTATGGTTCACAATTTTGTTAATGGGTAGATAAACCCTGCCCTATAATTGGTTTCAAGTAAAAAATAGAACCAAAGAGAAATTGATACCTTGCGTAATTGTGTGAATTCAAGAAAAACATTTGTGTCTGACCTTGTTTTAGACTAGGCGGAAACTATAGAAGAAATTGGAAGTAAAGTTCTTACAAAAAAGAACATGTCAATGTTGAAAGTGATTCAATTCAAAACACATTTACTGGGCATCTTCCAGGAGCCAGGTCCCTCATGGAATTCATGGAAACTTGGCCAATGCTGGTGGGATAGCTGGGAGTGAGTAGAAAATTGGTTCATAAAAGAAAGGGCCCCCTTTAGTTCTGCACTGGTTACATAGGAACATAGATCAACAATAAGTATTCAGTCCAGTTTTTCAAAAAGGAACCCTTTGTAATACAGAAGGAGTTCTTTCACAATTTTTGAGATTTCATTTCCAATAGGCTACAGACCTTGCAGAGAAAAGTAACCAAAATATGAGACCAGTCTCAAATTCTAATATTTTCATCATCTCAAGTTCATAGCTGATCTCTTCTTCTTTCCAAACATTACATCAGTGCCTACCCCACTGGGGATGTGATTGATCTGGCCAAATAACTCTCCCAACATCCAATAGCTCCATCTTCTTTGCTTCTCTCTCTTCCCTCTTCAAGTATGTTCCCTGAATCCAAATTTTCTTCCTGATGATATGTGAGTCTTTCAGGATAACTTTTCCCTACATCTAATTCTACTCTGACCAGAGAAATTATGTCATTAACTTTTACTACTACTATTGTCTCTACTGCTACTAAAAAGGAAGAGAAGAAGGAGGAAGGAGAGGAGGAAGAGAATAATTTATGGAACATTTATCATGTTCCTGTCACTATCTCATTTAATATTCAGTAATATAAATCGAAGCCTGCCAGCAGTCTGATGCCAGATCCCACATGCTTAGCCCCTCCTCTTACCGCCTCCCTCATATCAACTGGTGATCTTTGAGAGAGATGGGTAAAATCAGGTCCAAGTCAATTGTATGTGAAGGAACCAGGCTTCAATCCCTGGTCCTCTAACTACAGAGCCCACCCACTTTGCCAGAACCTCTCCCAGCTTCCTGCAAGGTGTCTCCAGGTAATTGAGTGTTTAAGCAATCAATAGAATAATCTGTCCGTTTCTCCGTCTCATTTTGTTAACAAAACAAGAAACAAAGAATTCGGCCATTACTAGCAACTGTATAACTAGGATACTTACTGATTCCTCCAAAGTCCCTTTCCTCAGAAGTTTTGGTTTAGGGAGCTCATTAATCCTCCCATCCCCAAAAGTGGGTCAGCCAAGCTGCAAGATATCCTGGAAGAATTAGATCAGTAGATCCCTGTCAGCATTGGTAATTCAATAGCTGTAGAATCCTAAACTTAAAAAGACAAATGTTTGAATTTTCTTTAACCCTCTAAACATTATAGACTATGTGGTGCAATTACTGAAAATTCTCAATTGAAATGTGGCAAGTGGGAAAACGAAATGCCCAAGCTCCTCCCAGACTTACCATGATTGTTTGTAACAAGATGAATTTTGGAGGATGAAATCCCTCATCCTCAAAGCTTAAAAACCTCTTTTATCAGAAAGCTTCACAATTTAACTTTGGTAGAACTAAGAGTGGGTAGGTCACAGCCATTTCAGTTAATGCCAGGATTATTTCTGAATATCCTGTAACCTACAACAAGAATTTATTTCTGATGTTGATGCAGCTATGTAATAAGACATACCAAGTATTTCTTAACATATGTATTCTCCCTTTCAAGGTCTTAATTCTGTAGTCATTTGATATTTACATGATTACTGAACCCTTTGGAAGCTCAGAAAGCTCAGTAAGCAAGGGCCAGACCTGGAAATAGTCTGCAAATCTCCATCCATACCAGATCAGAATTAGGAAGATTACTTCCCTATGATCTCTATATCTCTCCCTCGTTGCTTTTTAATTGTAGTTTAATACTATTAAGTGACAAGAAATTAAGAAAGTTTAAAGCCTATAGCATTCTCAAACTTCTTCGGGAGACAGGTATATAGATGTAAGTGGGGAGGGGCAGATATAAAAACTTAGGAAGTGTTGCTACCTGTGATGAGCTACAGTGTACATAATTGGCCTGAAAAAGCATTCAAATTTAAGGTTTTAAAAAGATTATCCAGCCAAATGCATATATCTGCAGTCTGAATTTGGCCCTGGAACCACTAGTTTGAAATGGCTGGTCATATTTCTAATAAAGAATCTAGCATTGTTGACCACTTATAATTAAAGATTTCTTCATTATCAATAACTGTTTAGATATAGATCTCATAGTTGAAAGTTATTGTTTTCCTTTCCACGTGTTCCGTTACTCCAAATCTCGTTGTTCAAACAGCTGGATCGAGTGCCAAAGATGTGAAAAGGGAGTATGGAACTCCTTTCTCTCACTGCCTTCTGGGAGAGTTATCCACAAATTGTACAGATAAAATGTGCTCTGCCTGCCCTGTGAAACTTCAGGTCTTGTAGCCTGTAGTGGATTTGATAAAGATTGCTGGGAAACCAAGAAAAGTCAACAAGACTATACCATATGCAGTACTCAGAGGAAGCTACACATGAATGCTTCATGTTTTGGTCCAATTGTAAAGAACCTATTTCTTGAAAAATGTGGACTACTACAAGTTTTGGTAGGAGGCTCCAAACATGTAGATAATATTCAGTATTGCTGGCTTGGGGGAACAAAGTGGAGGTAAGACATGTTTCTACAGATAACAATATGGCTTCTCTTGATTTTATAACCCTGTGATATTCACTGTAATTTTTAGTGTGAGAATCAATAGTGAAATCTAGATGACCTCACCAATGTGTTTTGTATTGGCGCTCATGAGAGTTAAAAGTTTTAATAGTATCGTTTGTGGCTATGACTATGACTAGGCTATAATTTGAAATCAGTATGACATCATTATCAATCAAGCAAAATTGTTTTTGAAACAAAATTCATCTTTGGCAAGACTTTCAAAAAATCTGGCTACAGTCTTAAGATACTGGCATCATTTTTCTGTGGTTTATTGGTAATTTGTATTTATTTTGTAAAATGTCTCCTCATCTATGCAAGAGTCTCTTGTTTCTAATCAATTCATTTTAAAACAATAATGGTAATGCTGCTCATGACTGTTTTTAAAAAATAAGTCTTACAGAAAGCTATAACATAAAAAAAAAGCCTCCTCTCCTTCCTCCAACCTCCTCTTTACTCCACATATCTCTTTCCAGAAATTTCCTATACAGATACAAGCATATATATGTGTATAATAGATTTTAAGCAAATTTAAACAGCATGAGTTCTGCAACTCGTTCTTTATCACTTATCAATATGATCTAAGGGCCTTTTTCCAAGTGAGCACCCCAGAATTTCTTTTACCAGCAATCTATTAATGAATATTTAACTCGTTTCCATTTTTTCTATTGCAATCTATAGCACATATGGTTTGCTTTAGTACCAAGACTCAGTGAAAGCAGAGTAGATGCAATTTCACAGATGCTAAGTTTATCTCTGCTCTATTACTAGTGCGTTACCAAATTATTCTGACAGCTATGCTATATGCTAAATCCTAATGGTAGGCATGCCCAAGTTATACTGTAATGAAGAAAATATTATCATGATCATGAAAACAATATCCCAGTAGATAGTGTACTTGTTAAATTTGTTCTCTGAATGTATTATTCCACATCATTAGAATAGGGTTTAGCACATGTTGATTATTTTAAGGTGCAAAAAGAGAATATAAACCTTGCCAGTGTGACAGACATATTTAAACCCCCATGAAAACTCTTGGCTATTCTTTTTTTTTTTTTTTTTTTTTTAGGAAGATTAGCCCTGAGCTAACATCTGCTGCCAATCCTCCTCTTTTTGCTGAGAAAGACTGGCCCTGAGCTAACATCATGCCCATCTTCCTCTACTTTATATGTGGGATGCCTACCCCGGCATGGCTTGCCAAGCGGTGCCAGGTCCGCACCCGGGATTCAAACTGGCGAACCCCAGGCTGCCGAAGCGAAACAGGTGAACCTAACCACTGTGCCACCAGCCAGCCCTTGGCTATTTTTTAAACAAAATCCTATTTAAACAAAATCTTTGAATCCTTTCTTTTGAATCCTTTCTTAACAGGAACAAAAACAATTGTTTCAGCAATTAAAAGTTACTTGATTTTTGGCAGCCTTTTAAACAAAAAGATACAAATCTTCATTAGAATCGTGATTTGATATATAATGGGCAATGTTATTGTCTTTACAGTTAAGTGAGCATTGATTTTTTAATAATATTTTTTTCATCAAAAACAACATTGCCCAAAAATTTCACCAAGATACAATATTTCAAATATTTTTCTTTGTCTGTTTAGGCCCATCAATATTCTAACCATCAAGGTAATAGCTCTCATTCTTTAGCAGTTTTTATGTGAATAAATTATAATTCAATATTTTCACCATGTAATTAATTTTATATAATAACTATCCAGCTAGATATGAGATTTCATGGACTAAAAAGGATTTATTGACATTTCTTGCTCTAACCCAATTATTTCAAGTGAAAATGCCATTGTGAAAAACGTACAGAAAGCAAAAGTTTCAAGAGATCTATTAGAATAATTACTGCTTTGAGTAAAGTCAACAAAAGGCAAAATTGAAAAAATTTGAAACTATCTGCAAATTTGGGACAATTGTTTTTATTAAATAGGAAATAAATGCAAGTTTTTCTGAAGTATGTTCTTTACTAATTTTTTTCCATTTCCTGGCACTGTATATATGTATGTATGCATATACACACACACGCACATATACATATACTATTTGGCAGAATGTTTATCCAAATTAAAACTAATAAAATATTACTTCAGGAAAAAGATGAAACAAAATTCAAATGAGGCAGCACAACTCAGTATCACTCAAATGGCTAAAATAGAATAGAAACTACAAATAAATCAGTAATTTTGCTAACATCTAATGATGAAAATCGCTCTAAGTTTGCCTGATATTTCCTAAGTTATTCATATTGACAAGAAATAATCTATTTAATTATATTGACAGAATTAAGTTTCAAAGTTTATACAGAAACTTTTTTTATCAAAAAGGATATTATTTGGTTATAATGAAAGTAGTATCTGTGAATGGCACAATGAACTATTTTGAAAATACAGGAAAGAAGAGGCACATTACATTTTGCATTGAAGATTCTGTTTTTGTTTCTTGAGGGAGTTGGGTTTTTTGTTATGTTTTACTTCTTAGTGAAGGCAGTGTGCAGAAGGTTCCCTAGCTAGAACATGGTAATACTGCTCATTATGACACAGCTGATTAACCACTTTAAGTAGAGGGAAATCTTTTATTTCCAATAAGTTTAAACTGTTCTGGCGGATGATGAATCTTAAACTTCAAAAAACTGTTACTCTAATTTACTCATTGAATATATCCCTTCAAACTCAATATATAGTAGTCTGTTTTATTTACTAAAATAGCAGTCCTGAATCTTACTTACATTACAGAACCATCAATATCCTGGATATCCCCCGGAACCTTACCCCAACTTCCTCCTCTGTTAGTTGTAGATCTGGGTCTTTCTCAATCTACAGTATCAGCAAGGAGACTTTGCATCCCAGTTTACCCAGGACAATTCTGGTTTACACCTAATATTGCATACTTGATAGCCCCTCCCTCCCTTTCACATCAAAATAGTCCCAGTTTGGAAAATAAATTATATGATCCACTCAGTGTATAATGAACAGGAGAGCTTCAGGTATAGGCATTCTAATGTTTGCCATTGTCACTCTTTTTGACCTAATTAAAAAAGTTATTAAGAACTATGCATGGCTTTCGAATGGACCTATGTCAGTTTTTAGTTACCTAGCAGGAACCATCTACCACCACTACTTAAATTTCATTCCTATTGATAAAGTTCTCAGATTCTTTAATGTTCATTCAATATCTTTATCAAAAATCAACAGCAACCTTGCAAACAATAGCCTGTTGATAAGAATTAAAAAGAAAAAATAACTTTCCTTTTGAACTTATACGTAAATAATGTGATACATTTTTTGAGAAAATAGTGAAGTCTTTTCTTCCATAATACATAGAAATATCAACCTCACATACTTCTTTCACTTAACAAACATTGAGCATTAATATATGGCATCTACTCTGCTGGGCACTTTTTTGGTATTGGTGGTAAGAAGGGAATGGTGAGAGGGAAGAAATTTAAAATGAAATGTAGAAACTTCCAGTTAAATATAATATAAATTCCATTATAATGACATTAGAGGAGACCAAAGTAGACAAGGGATGTCAGTAAACTTTTAGAAGAGGG